AAGGACTATTGTACACTGACATGCTTAAATGTATTTGAAAGCACAAGGTGATACTCATTTTTGATGGTCTTCCCATTTATGCTGGTTTTTTTGCCTCTTTGACATCTGTCATCAGTATTTAGAGGGTGAGAAGGGAATGTAACAGGTATAAGTAACATTTTGAAAAACTTCATAGCTTTGCTATAATCACCGTTGTTCCACAGCACTGTCAGATTCATTCTAATAACCAGAAGTGGTTGTTTTAACAAAAAAGGAAAATACAACCATGGGAAAGAAATCTTAAATGAAAAAAACATCTCATTGTAGGCATTCTTGCCTCCTATTCTACTGGGCCATGTTTATTTCCTGGTACTCATAAATACATGTATTTTCTTTCCAGATCTCTTTCCCCAAGTTGCTGTTGTAAAAGAGTATTCTGCTGAGTGTGGGTGCAGTTGGGCACATTAAAGCAGATCTGGAGTCTGAAGTAGCTAAAGCAGCTATAAAACTGAGAAATACATTCATAGCTGCAGAAACCATGATAGGTAGAGGACTTTCCTTTTTGGTTTTTGTTTTGGGTTTTAAAGAGAAGAGATTTAATTATAAAAAAAATTCCAGTGAATTGTGCAGAAATAATGGTTTCTACACTATCCTAAAGAAAAACTTAGGGTTTTTGAGTAGAAAAGTTTAAAAAGTTGGAATCTTAAATTGTAAAAATAGCCATTGAGTGTCAAAGTTCTAAAAGGAGAACTCACTTTGTGCAATGAACATAAGGAAAGACTACTGTATAGATTTTTTTTTTCCTTTTAAATGAAGAAAAGCTTTGCTTAAGGGTTGCATACTTTTATTGGAGTAAATCTGAATGATCCTACTCCTTTGGAGTAAAACTAGTGCTTACCAGTTTCCAATTGTATTTAGCTTCTGGTTGGAATTTGAAAAATGAAAACCTAAATAAAATAGGTGAAAGTTCCCTGACTATTCAGGTGAATATACAAAGCTTGAAGTGGTAACTTTTTTCCCCCTGCAAGTCACTGGGAGATGTTACTGGTCACCTTAGGGGATTATTTCATAGTGCATGGCTGAAAACAGTACATTCAGAAAAAAAAAGCTGGCAATTGAGTTTGTAACTTCAAGAATAGGAATCAAGGACATTTTGTCAGCATTCAACAGCATTTCCCTTATGCCTGGCTTCAGGGAAAAGGAAAAATATTTTAATTTCAAAATGCTTTCACATGTTCTCTGATTTGTTTAAAATTAGAATCAATTTTAAATAACACTATAAATGTTTATTATGGTCAGGTACTCTCCTAAGCTTTTAACTTGATCTGACAACTCTTGAGTAGATAGGTAAAGTTACTTGCCCACATCAGTCATAAATAGTGGAGGATTTAAAACCAGGCTAGAGCCCAAGCTCTTAACCATTTTACTGTATTGAAGTACACTTCGTATGTTCATTAAATTAGGCATTTCAGCAGCCACTTAGTTTAAGTTTTTATTTTGGAATAACTTAGAAAAGTTGTCAAAGTAATACAGAAAGCTTCTGTTAAAAATGTTACCTCTACATTTTTTATCATTTTCCCACATAATTTTTTCTTTATATATTCAGGGTGTCCATAAAGTTTGTGTGCAGGCTCTTTTAAACTGCCTATGAACTTTATGGATACCCTGTGTACATACTTTGTGATTCTTTAACCCCTTAGTATTTGGTATTTGTTCCAAGCACAAGAATATTTTATATAACTAAACCTAACCAAACACGGGGATTGTAACAATAACATGTTACTGTCCTTATTCCAGTTTTGTCAGTTGTCCCAATATCTTTGGTAGTGTTTTTAGAAAAAACCCTAGTAAGTACAGGATCATTACATTTAGTTGTCATATCCTTAGTCTTTTTGGGCTTTTTTTTTTTTTTTCCTTTGAGACAGTCTCATTGTGTCGCTCTCGGTAGAGTGCGGTGGCGTCACAGCTCACAGCAACGTCAAATGCTTGGTTGGGTGCAAGCATTTCTCCTGCCTCAGCCTCCCAAGTACCTGGAACTACAGGTACCTGCCACAATACCAGGCTATTTTTGGATTACAGTTGTCATTGTTTAGCAGGCTCAGGCCTTGTATGTGGCTGGCACCGAGCCTGGCTTATTATTTTGAGATAGTCTTGTTCTGTGGCCCAGGTTAGATTATAGTGCATGGCTCACTGCAACCTCAAACTCCTGGGCTCAAGTGATCCTCCTGCCTCAGCTTCCTGCTGCTGTGCCTGGATAATTTTTCTTTTGGTAGAGTTGGGATCTTGCTCTTGTTCAAGCTGGTTTCAAACTCCAGAGTTTAAGCAGTCCTCCATGGTAGCCCTCCCAGAATGCAAGGATTACAGGCCTGAGCTACTGTGTCCAGCCCCAATTCTCTAATCTGGAGTAGTTCCTTAACCTATTTCATGACATCCACTTTTTGGAGTACAGGGCAGTTGTCCATGTAAACTGTCCCTCGTTTTGTGTGAGTTGTGTTCATGGTTAGTTCAGCCTTGTGTCCTTATCAAATTAACACCTGAAGCACACTCCCATCTGCTCTCCCCCCCCCCCCATTTTTGGCCAGGGCTGGGCTTGAACCCACCACCTCCGGCATATGGGGTCAGCGCCCTACTCTGAGCCACAGGCGCTGCCCCTCCTGCTCTTTTTTGGTGTCAATTTTGATTGCTTGCTCAAAAGCATCCTGTTTCTGTGCTAGATAAAGGACTCATTAGCAGTATATGGGAACCTGTAACTAGCCACCTTTTCTCAAAAGCTCCATTGCTGATTCAACCCCCATCTTTAACTGAAAATAGCAAAATAGTATTTTCCAAATCCATTTCTCCATATTTTCTGGTATTCATTGTAAGCCTGCCATTTGTTACCTACCTAAACACTATGGACTCAAGATGTTTTTTCTTCCCCACAGTGCATGTTGAATGCCTTTATCCTTTTTTTTTTTTTAAAAGCATTTTCTTTGAGATACCTTGTAACTTTTTTCCTCCCAGCCTCCAGCCCTGGAATTCCTTTTAGTGGGAAATACTAGATATCAAGATCTTGTGTTTCCTGTATGCTCACTGCTCTTAAGGAGTCTGCTTGCGTCCTTTCAGTTGATAGATTAGGATGTATTATAATTTAGGCAAAGGATAACCAACCTTTAACTATTGACACAAATTGAAAGCTGTTTCTTTTTTTTCTACCCGGTCTTTAGTCATGAGATGTTCACTGAAGACGCCCTGATACAAAAATCAAATGTTAAGAGTACCGTGGTCAACAGAAGTTTGAGATCTTTGACTAAATAATTTGTTAACTTGTCTTTTTAATATCATAAAGATTTGTATGATTTTATTTTAGGTACTAGAAAAGGGGCTACTAGTATGCTTTCTTCCCCCTGCCCCCCAAGAGATACCAATTCTATAAGAAGTTATCAGAAAAAAAGCATTTGGACTGTTTTCTGTATCACTAATGTGCTTTTGTTTCAAACTTTCTTGAGGACTATTTTAGGCAATATGGTTTAATCTATTTTATTTTTCACTATGGCCATGGTCATCTATTTTGAAGTTTCATAATCTTAAAAAAGGAAATAGAAGTTTGGCATGGCATTTTAGGTCTGGGAAGGACCTAAAGTTCATTAAGCACTGGCCATTGCTACAGTCTTAATGTGCCCACCTCAAATCTGTATGTTGAAATCCTAACCCCGGTATATTAGAAGGTGGGGGTCTTTAGGAGGTAATGAGATCATGATGGCATTCATGAGTGGCATTTGTGCCCTTAATAAAAGAGAACCCAGGCCATAGCAAAAGGGCACCATCTATGAACCAGGAAGCAGGCCCTCAACAGACACCAGGAAAAGCTGGACCCTTGACCTTGGACTTTCCAGCTTCTAGAACAGTGAGAACTTTCTGTTGTTTATAAGCTACACAGTCTGTAGTATTTTTTTTTTTTTTTTTAGATAGAGTCTCACTATGTTGCCCTTGGTAGAATACTGTAGCGTCACAGCTCACAGCAACCTCAAACTCTTGGACTTACGCAATCTCTGGCCTCGGCCTCCCAAGTCCTGGGACTATAGACGCCTGCCACAATACCGGCTATTTTTACAGGTGAGGTCTTGCTCTGGCTCAAGGTGGTCTGGAACCCGTGAGCTCAGGCAATCCACCCACCTCGGCCTCCCATAGTGCTAGGATTACAGGCGTGAGCCACTGTGCCTGGCCTAGTCTATGATATTTTGATAACTATTAATTTATCTTCTCCTTTAGGTCAATATGGAATGAAGTTCAATTTTAAAATATTCTCACCTCAAAATAGCTATGCTAGGTTCTTTGCTTTCCTTAAGTTTTCAAAATGCTTTGAACAAAATAATTTTTCATCCAATTATATACAGGATTAAAAAAATACCAGTCTGGGCTTGGTACCTGTGGCTCAAGTGGCTGAGGCACCCGCCACATAATACCTGAGCTGGCCGGTTCGAATTCAGCCCAGGCCTGCCAAACAACGACAGCTGCAACCAAAAAATAGTTGGGCGTTGTGGAGGGTACCTATAATCCCAGCTACTTGGGAGGCGGAGGCAGGAGAATCACTTGAGTCCAGGAGTTGGAGGTTGCTGTGAGCTGTGATGCTACCGCACTCTACCCAGGGTGACTGTTTTGAGGTTCTGTCTCCAAAAAAAAAAATCTGAAAAAGAGTGAGACCCTATTTCTCCTAAAAACAGAAATTAGCCAGGCATAGTGGTAGGTGCCTGTAGTCCCAGCTACACAGGAGGTTGAAGGAGGAGCACTGCTTGAACCCAGGAGTTTAAGGCTGTTGTGAACTAGGCTGACACCAGAGCACTCTAGCCTGAGCAACACAGTGAGACACTCTCTCTCAAAAAAAAAAAAAGCAAAGACACTTAAAATGAAATAAAATATACACCTCCAGCTTCACTCCAACCAGGTCTTTTTTTTTTTTTTCTTTTAGGTCTTTTTCTTCAGTTTTAAAATATTCTCACCTCAAAATGGCTCTGCCATTTTGCTCACAAAAATACTAGTTATTTCTGGTTTTGCTAATTTATTTTGAAAATTATATTTGTTCAAGTTAAATTTACACTTGCTATTCACTGCTGGCATTCTTCTATTCTCTCAGTTTCCCAAGTGTTTTGTGTGTCTGCCTTGAGCTATTAGCTTTCCTGTGGCCTTGTTGGTCAGATCCACAGAGGAAAATGCAAGTGTCTTTCCTTGCTTCAGAACATGTGCTGTAATCACTATTTCTTCTCCCATTTTTGCAGGTGACATGTACCTTAAAAAGAAACAAATTTAAATATAGTCAATGGCAATAAGTTTTAAAAGGGAAAGTTTTATGCATTTCATAAACAGCCTGACTGTGTAACTTATTTTACCCCTAAAAATAGTTCAAGAATATTGGTAAGCTTTCTGTATTACCAAATGTGATTGGCCGGTCCTTCCCAGTTTCTACCTTATTCACATATTTCTCTCCACATGAACATGAGAAGGGGTATTCTTGCCACTACTTTTTCCATTTAAATTTCATACTTGCTATTTATTTGAGGCTGATGAAAGATTTCCTCTAGCTTTCATTTAATCTGCTTCTTAGGTGACATATTACATGGTGTCTCTATCTTGTGAGATCAATATTTAGAAATATTCAACTCTACAATGACATAATAGAAGAATATAAAGAATATGAGGTCTTTACAATCCTGGTGATGAATTTCTATACATATTTTTGAAGACATACATTTCTTACCCACTTGTAATCATAAATTGTCTTTGATTCAATTAATTTAGAAAGACTGTTTTAAAGGGAAATAATTTTCTTACAATTAATTTTTATGTTTCTGCTTTTATTTATTGAGACAATCTGACTCTATTGCCTAGGCTCATAGCAACCTTAAACTCCTGGGTTCAAGTGATCCTTCTGCCTCAGCCTCCCTAGTAGCTGGGACTACAGGTACTTGCTACAATGCCCAACTAATTTTGTTTCTTTTTCTTTTTTTTTAAGAGACAGTTTCATTTTGTCACCCTTGGTAGAGTGCTGTGGCATTCACAGCTCACAGCAACTTCCAATTCCTGTGTTTAGGCAATTCTCTTGCCTCAGCCTCCCGAGTAGCTGAGAGTACAGGCACCTGCCAGAATGCCCGTCTATTTTTTTTTTTGCTGTTTGACTGGGCCGCATTTGAACCTTCAACCCTCAATATACAGGGCTGGCACCCTACCCACTGAGCCACAGGTGCTGCCCTTAATTTTTCTATTTTTCAGTAGAGATGTCATCTCACTCTTCCTCGGGCTGGTCTCAAACTCCTGAGCTGAGGGCGGCACCTGTGGCTCAAAGGAGTAGGGCACTGGTCCCATATGCCGGAGGTGGTGGGTTCAAACCCAGCCCTGGCCAAGAACTGCAAAAAAAAAAAAAACCCAACTCCTGAGCTCAATAGATCCTATGCCTGGCCTCCCATAGTGCTAGGAGTCCAAGCATGAGCCATTGAGCCTGGCTTGTTTTTGCTCTTTATAAAGCAAGAATTCATGCTGGTAGCAGTGACTCCCACTTATAATCCCAGCACTTTCGGAGGTTGAGGTAGGAAGATCCCTTAAGGCCAGGAAATTAAGACCAGTCTGGGCAAAATACCAATATCTTGTTTTTTTTTTTTTTTTTGAGACAGAGTCTCACTGTGTTGCCCTTGGTGCTGTGGCGTCACAGCTCACAGCAACCTCCAACTCTTGGGCTTAAGTGATTCTCTTATCTCAGCCTCCCAAGTAGCTGGGACTACAGGTGCCTGCTACAACTCTCTGCAATTTTATTTATTTTTTTTAGAGACCAAGGTCTCTTGCTCTGGCTCAGGCTGGTCTCAAACTCGTGAACTCAGGCAATCCACCTGCCTCAGCCTTGCAGAGTGCTAGGATTACAGACGTGAGCCACTTCATTCAGCCCCAATTAATGCGGCAATTAGGAAGCTTGAGAACCACTGACTTAGAGGCTGAGGCAGAAGTATTGCTTGCGCTCAGAATTTCAAGGCTGCAGTGAGATGTGATCACATGAATGCACTCCATTCTGGGTGACAGAGTGAGAGCCAAAAAAAACAAAGAGTTTTCATTGTTTATGGCTGGGAATTGTTGCTAGAAAGTAGATCAGTAGGCTCATCTTGAATTCATGTACCTCAATTTAAAGATATAAAAATCTCATGTTTAGTAGTAATTTACCTAGTTTTCATTATTTCTCCAAATTTTCTCCTATAAATCAAGAATTTTGGCAAATAGCCATTATCTTTTTTTTTTTTTTTTTTTTTTGAGACAGAGCCTCAAGCTGTCCCCCTGGGTACAGGGCTATGGCATCACAGCTCACAGCAACCTCCAACTCCTGGGCTCAAGCGAGTCTCCTGCCTCTGTCTCCCAAGTAGCTGGGACCATAGGCGCCCGCCACAATGCCTGGCAATTTTTTTTGGTTGCAGCCATCATTGGTGTTTGGCAGGTCTGGGCTGGACTCGAACCTGCCACCTTAGGTGTATGTGGCTGATGCCTTAGCCACTTGAGCCACAGGCACCAAGCTAATAGCCATTATCTTAAGGGAAATCAAGGAAAGACTTGCAACACCTTGTGCTATAGATGAGCAAACATATCTGGCAAATTGGGCAACAGACATTTTGTCAGCAGTATGTATTCTTTTTTTTGAGACAGAGTTTCAAGCTGTTGCCCTGGGTAGAGTGACATGGCGTCACAGCTCACAGCAACCTCCAACTCTTGGGCTTAAGTGATTCCCTTGCCTCAGCCTCCCAAGTAGCTGGGACTATAGACACCCACTGCAACGCCTGGCTATTTTTTTGTTGCGGTTGCCATTGTTTAGCAGGCCTGGGGCCGGGGGTCGAACCCTCCAGCCTCAGTGTATGTGGCTGGCGCCCTACCCACTGAGCCACAGGCGCTGCCCAGCAGTATGTATTCTTATCCTAGAAATTCTTCTTTTATTGTTTTGAAACCCAGATTTATTTTTATTTCTTTATTTTTTTGAGCCTGAGCCTCCCTATGTCACCCTTGGTAGAGTGCCATAGCATCACAGCTCACAGTGACCCTCAAACTCTTGGGCTTAAGTGATTCTCTTGCCTCAGCCTCCTAAGTAGCTGGGACTATAGGTGCCCAACACAATGCCCGGCTATTTTTTTGTTGCAGTTGTGATTGTTGTTTAGCAGCCGCATTATATGTGGCTGGTACCCTAGCCACTGAGCTATAGGCACCGAGCCCCCAGATTTATTTTTTTCTGATGTCATGGTTTAACAAGCTTCCTCTCTTTGTGCAATATAGAACTTCATATGCAAGGGTAAATTTGGTACCATGTCATATAGTACTATGAGTGAACAGTGAGATGTTCATTAACTGAAATTGACTGAAGTGTTATTCACTTTTGAAATATGTATAATCTTTGAGACTATGTCGTGATTTCTGTTCAATCAATTTTTTAAGCTCAGGCAGCTCTTGATAGTGGCTAATACTTTTGGCAACATTTTGAAAGGCGAAAACTATGCTCTTGAATTATTAAAAATTCCTGGCTGGGTGCAGTGGCTCACGCCTCTGATCCTAGCACTCTGAGAGGCGCTAGGTGGGTGGATTGCCTGAGCTAATGAGTTTGAGACCAGTCTAAGCCAGAGTGAGATCTCGTCTGTAAAAACAGCTGGGCTTTGTAGTGGGTACCTGTAGTCCCAGCAAGTAGGAAGGGAGAAGCAAAAGGATTGCTTGAGCCCAAGAGTCTGAGGTTGCTGTGAGCTATGACTCCGTTGCACTCTACCAGGGGTGACAAAGTGAGATTCTATCTCAAAAAAAAAAAAAAAAAAATTCCTTAGGGTTGTGAAAGCAGCAGTATCTAGAAGCCCATGAAATGTGTTGCTAGGTTTAAAGATCTCTCCACCTAAGGCCTCTCAGAGTGCTGGGATTAGAGTGAGCTCAGGCAATCCACCCATCCAGAGTGTTAGGATTACAGGTGTGAGCCATGGCTCCCGATGATCTTGCTGTTCTTTTTTTTTTCAGTCTCACTTTGTTGCCCTCAGTAGAGTGCTGTGGCGTCACAGCTCACAGCAACCTCCAGCTCTTGGGCTTGGGCAATTCTCTTCTCTTAGCCTCCTGAGTAGCTAGGACTACAGGTGCCCACCACAACACCTAGCTATTTTTTGTTGCAGTTTGGCTGGGGCTGGGTTTGAACCTGCCACCCTGGTATATGGGGCTGCCACCCTACTCACCGAGCCACAGGCATTGCTCAATCTCTCTCTTCTTAAGGAAAAGCAGAATCAACTAGTTTTACCCCTCATCACCAGGAATAAAATAAGGACTACTGAATACTCCCCCTAGAAACATAAACAGAGCCTTTCTTTTTCTTTTCTGAACATCTTAGTTTCAAAAGCATTTCTTTGATATTCTCCTGTGATTTGCTTATTGCACCCTCAATTTAAGTTATTCCCATAGTAATGAGGGACTGAATGTTATAAGTTAACCTAATAAAGGTTATAAGTTAACCTAATAAAAGATTTAGATTGCTTAAAAACCCACATAACAATGGCTCTCCCACCCTAACCCCTGCCTGTCCTCTCAACAATACATTTTTCTGTTGCTTAGATGGAAAAAGCAATCGACTTGAAACTAAATCCCTTCACCTTACTCTTTACTAAATGAGACTGGCAACAGTACAGTTTATGTTGAAACTGAATTTTTTACTTTTTGCAAACTTTTTTAAGTTTGGTCTCTGTAAAGATTTTCACAATAGTGAGTGAGAGCCTGACACTGTGGCATTGCTTCCTGATCATATGTTTTAAACTTATAGAGCATGCCTGTGCAGTTGAAGGAAGAAATCCAGGATCCTATCCTATTCTGTGTTCCCCTTGTTAGAACAAGATTACAATGTGTATGAATAACATTTCAGTCAATTTCAGTACTCCCAACTTTGCTTTGGATTTTATTCACCCTTTAAATGTGCTTCATACAACACTTGTAAGACATTTGTCTGGTACTTTTAAGGACTGGTACCTTTTAAGGACTGTAAGAAACATAAATCATGAGTTTGTGATCATCCCCCTTTATTAATGTGTGTGTCTGTGTGTATAAAAGCTGAATGTTTGGGGCCTGGCGTCTATAGCTCAGTGATTAGGGTGCCAGCCACATACACTGAGGCTGGTGGGTTCGAGCGTGGCCTGGCCTGGCCTGCTAAACAACAGTGACAATGGCAACCAAAAAATAGCCAGGCGTTGTGGCTGGCGCCTGTAGTCCCATGTACTTGGGAGGCTGAGGCAAGAGAATCACTTGAGCCCAAGAATTTGAGATTGCTGTGAGCTGTGATGCCACTGCACTCTACTGAGGGCGACATAGTAAGACTCTTTCTCAAAAAAAAAAAAAGAAAAAAAAAGCTGAATGTTTGGGATCATTCCTTCTCTACTATTTATATGTACAGGCCTTGGGAATTAATGCTCTAGTTCTAGATTTTAAGGTCATGGAATGTTTTAGGGTAAATCATCTATGGCTGCACTATGGAGATAAGCAGCTAATCAAATCCGTACTTCATTAATATAAATGTTTTTAGTCTCAGTTGTTTGGTAAGTTATTACATTTAAAAAAGTCATTTGGGGCACAGTCTGGATACATACGTTATGTTCATATCAACACTGACTCCGGGTGCGCCCCTTTCTGTGCATAGAAGGGCCATTGTTGATATGTTGTCTACTAAAGTAGCTGTCAAACCGCCGTGGAGAGTGCCCATTTTATTAGTGTGCTCCTCTTCTACTTTCATTTCACAAACCACTTTCCCCGGAACAGCAGAGATTACAGTCACCTAAATGTAAAACAAAGAATTTTGTACATTCATTCTGTGGTAATAGAAAAGCGAAAAAGTTGATCCAGAAATTAAAGATAGTTGCCAATACTGCTATGACAGAAATTGTTATGAAAATTATTTTGAAAGAGAAAAGTGTTTAAGAAAAAAACATTAGTATTTTTTGCTATCTCAATTCCTCCACAGAAATCAAATATTCAACTGAGCCTTTCAACCTTATGGATAATGTCTTAATGTTTTCCTTGGAAATTTTGTTCCAACAAAGCCACCTGGTTTCTGTCATCTGTTAACCTGTTGAAACCAGGTAGTTTTTTATTTTATTTTTTTTAGAGACAGAGTCTCACTTTGTCACCCTCAGTAGAGTGTTATGGTGTCACAGCTCACAGCAACCTCCAGCTCTTGGGCTTAGGTGATTCTCTTACCTCCGCCTCCTGAGTAGCTGGGACTACAGGAACCAGGCAGTTTTATTTGTGTGTTTTCATAGTTTTTGAAAAAGCAGAGTAATTTTTAAATGATGTAGTAATAAACAGGTCAAAACAATTTAAAGACTGGAAGAAATATAGTAATTAATGAGTTACCAGAATTAATTAAGCTTATACCACATATCCATTTTAATATAAAATTATGTTTGACAATAAAATTCTATGACATTAAATTGCTTTTGAGGTTTTGTCCCATTTATAGTTAAGTATCATAACAAAAAGTATTTCATTGCTTGGTGCCTGTAGCTCAACAGCTAGGGTGCCAGCCATATATACCGGGGCTGGTGGTTTCGAACACAGGCTGGGCCTGCCAAACAGCGATGACAACTACAACAAAAAAATAGCTGGGTGTTGTGGTAGGCACCTAAAGTCCCAGCTACTTGGGAGGCTGAGGCAAGAGAATCACTTAAGCCCAAGAATTTGAGGTTTCTGTGAGCTGCGATGCCATAGCACTCTACTGAGGGTGACATACTGAGACTCTGTCTTAAAAAAAAAAAAGTATTTCATGAGAGACAAATTTGTGGAAAAATGAATTTAAAATTTTTAAATTTTATATTAAACATTTTTTAAAAGGAGGCCAGGCATGGTGGCTCACATCTGTAATCCTAGCACTCTGGGAGGCTGAGGCAGGTAGATCGCTGGAGCTCACAAGTTTGAGACCATCCTGAGCAAGAGCAAGACCCAGTCAGTACTAAAAATAGAAAATTTTGCCAGGCATAGTAGTGGGCGCCTATATGCCCGCTGCCTCGGGAGGCTGAGGCAAGAGGATTGCTCAAGCCCAAGAGTTTGGAGTTGCTGTGAGCCATGATGCCACATCACTCTACCCAGGGCGGCAGTGAGACTGCCTCAAAAAACAAACAAAGCCCCCAAAGACCAAAAAAAATTTTTTTAAAAAGGAAACCTATAGGAAAATAGAGATGTCAATTTTTTATACCTTTCTATTTAAGTTACTAGGAAAACCCATCATCATATATTTAGAAATCAGAACTAAGTTGTGAATGGAATTTACTACATCAAATAACAGTAATTTTCACTATTAGAGATGTATTCAGGCAAAATATGGGTGAATATTTGCTATATCTATTGCATTTGGGGGTGAGGGACTATCTTAAGTGCTACTTAGATTGTAGATAACTATCAGTAACTACCTAGAGCACTTTAATAAGCCGGGCACTGTGTGCCAAACACTTTACATACGCTATACAGAGCGTGCCAAAAAAAAGTATACACATTTTAAGAAAGAAAAAAGTGTATTAAATTTATAATATTCAAGTCCAACTGACTTTTACAATTATGAAATGTGCTCAGTGTGACCTGTATCCATCTTTTGTTATCACTGCATATTGAGTATTACTATTTTAATACATTTTTTTCTTTTCTTAAAATGTGTATTTTTTTTTTTTTTGGCATCCTCTGTATATTAAAGAAGGGATAACTTCCATTGTTCAAAGAATATAAATTCAGAGTGGCTACTTTCAAGGTCACCTGAGATTTGACAGAAGTGTGATTTAAATCTAGATCTGTCTACTGTCTCCCTAATCACTAATTATAAAATCCAGATATGTAATGGCCTTTACGGCTCCCACCAGGAAGACATTTGGGAATTTCATGAACTATCACTTCACTGGTTTTACTGTTGTTTATCCTATAGAAGTTCCTGAAGGAAAACAAACAGAATCACACAATATAAACCATCCCAAACAATATTATGTCATGTTTTATGCAACAGGTTAATCAATGTAAAAAATAAATGTCAAAATAAGTCTGTTTATAGCAATAAATGATCTGGCCACAAGATGTCCTCACAAACTAATAATACATACCAAGCAGAAAGAAGGAATAAACTCGTTTACCAGTCTTTATATCAGATATTGGCAATGTAAAAATGAATGAAACTTAATCCCTGCTCTTAGAGGGTTTAGTCTAAAGTGAGAAACAGGTACATAAACTACACTGGAGGAAATTATTGCAGAAACAAAAAATGCAAGTGTCTTGATGTAAAGATATCTAATTTTTAGAAGTACCATATATGTTTTCAGGAAAGAGACATTAGGAAAGCTTCCTAGAGAATGACATTTGAGTCTGAAGAATAGGCAGGTGTTAAGCAGGTGTTAGCCAGGTAAAAATGGGGGGGACAGTTAAAGAAGTAGAATCAAATATGAAAGCCTTAAAGACACTAAAGGTACTTTAGGCTTAGCGTCTGTGGCTCAAGCGGGTAAGGCGCCAGCCACATACACCTGAGCTGGTGGATTTGTATCCAGCCAAGCCCACCAAACAACGACGGCTGCAACCAAAAAAATAGCCAGGCGTTGTGGCGGAGACCTGTAGTCCCAGCTATCTGGGAGACGGAGGCAGGAGACTCGCTTGAGCCCAGGAGTTAGAGATTGCGTTGAGCTGTGATGCCACAGCACTCTACCCAGGGCGACAGCTTGAGGCTCTGTCTCCAAAATTAAATAAATAAATAAATAAAGGTTCTTTGGCGTAGAGTTTAGTTCTTCAAATTCCATTTGGTTATTGTTGGCTAGGATGACAAAAGATAAGATAAATGTCAGTGGTTAGATTTTCTAGTGCAGAGTATGGTTTTTCTTTTCTTTCTTTCCTTTTTTTTTTTTTAAGACAGAGTCTCATTTTGTTACCTGTGGTAGAGTGCCATGGCATTATTGTTCATAGGAACCTCAAACTCTTGGGCTCAAGTGATTCTCTTGCCTCAGCCTCCTGAGTAGCTGGGAGTACAGCGCCCAAAATGCCTGGCTGTTTTTCGAGATAAGGTCTCGCTCTGGCTTATTCTGGCCTTGAACGTTTGAGCTCAAGCAATCCACCCACTTTGGCCTCCCAGAGTGCTAGGATTATTGATGTGAGCCACCGAGCCCAGCCTCCCTTTTTTTTCTTTCTTTTTGAGACATAGTCTTGCTCTGTCTCCTAGGCTACAGTGCAGTGGTGCCATTGTAGCTCACTGTAACTTCAAACTTGTGGGTTCAAGTGATCCTCCCGCCTCAGACTCTTGAGTAGCTGGGACTACAGGCATGTATCAGCATGCCTGGCTAATTTTTCTATTTTTTGTAGAGATGAGTTCTTGCTATGTGGGCTTAGGCTGGTCTCAAACTCCTGGCCTCAAGCAATCCTCCCACCTCAACCTCCCAAAGTGCTAGGATTATAGGCATAAGTTACCATGCCTGGCCCAGAATACTGTTTTTAATTTTCTTTCTTTTTTTTTTTTGAGACAGAATCTCACTGTCACCCTTGGTAGAGTGTTGTCGCATCACAGCTCACAACAATCTCAAACTCTTGGGCTCAAGTGATTCTCTTGCCTCAGATCCCAAGTAGCTGGGACTACAGGCACCTGCCACAACACCAGGCTATTTTTGTTGTTGTTCTTGTTGTTTTTTTGGCCGGGGCTAGGTTTGAACCCACCACCTCCGGCATATGGAGCCAGTGCCCTACTCCTTTGAGCCATAGCTGCCCTTGTTGTTGTTGTTGTTGCAGTTGTCATTGTTGTTTTAGCTGGCCCGGGCTGGGTTTGAACCTGCTAGCCTCGGTGTTATGTGGCTGGCACCCTACCTACTGAGCTATGGGTGCTGCCAACCTCAAACTCTTGACTTAACCTCTCTAGTAGCTAAGGCTACAGGCACCTCCCCAGAAAAAACAGCTGGCTAATTTTTTCTATTTTTACTACAGATAGCGTCTCACTCTTGCTCAGGCTGGTCTCAAACTCCTGAGCTCAAATGATGAGCCACCCACCTTGGCCTCCTAGAGTGCTAGACTGTACCTGGCCCTTTTTTATGTTTAGATACACAAATGCACCAGTATGTTACAACTGCCTACAGTATTTGGTATAGTAACATGCAGTACAGGTTTATAATGTAGGAGCAATAGGCTATACCATACAGCTTAAGTGTGTAGTAGGCTATAACATCTAGGTTTATGTAAAAAATTCTGTCATGTTTGCACAATGATGAAACTGCCTAACAATGAATTTCTCAGGATGTATTCCTGTTGTTAAGTGACAACATGACTTTAACATCTCACAGCTTTGTTGCGGGTTAAAAGAAACAGTATAGGGAAAATAAAGTATTACTGTATGGTCTGACTCAGAGTACTCAATAAATGCCAGTTATCACCAAAAGTACCAGAACTGGGAAAATGAAACTTGCCCACTTGCTTTTCTTCTTGCAATCAGCACTTTCACTCTGCTTAGTTTAAAAGGCTTGAACAAACTTTGAAAATCCAAATGCTTTTCTAAAGGCAATTACAATCTTACCAGATCAGTTCTACTATGTGGTTAACTTCCTTTCTGAGCATACCCCCATGGACCCAATTGTAAAAGCATCAGCTACCAGATCAACAGCAAAGAAAGTCCTCATAAAGTATTCAAGGTGTATACAGCACAAGGCAACTCCATGAGGAGAGACAAATCTAGTGACTCAGTCATGACAAACTTAAGATAGCTAAAAGGTCTTGGGGAAAATAGCACAACAGGTAAAATTACAAAAACAGTGGAGTCATCATTCCTTTTTTTCC